GTCGGGGATTCGTGGGAGCGGGGGAGGAGCGGGAGGCCCATCTGGCTTTCCCTGCATCCCTGGTCTCTCTGACCCGGGGACACGGCCCAGGTCGGCGTCTCTCTGACTCCCGCATCTCTCCAGGTGCGTGCGTCTGTGTGCCGGTCCGTGTGCTCGCTCACGCCTTCGGGCTGCACTGACACCTCTCGACCAGCACCGTGTACGTCTTCACCCGCCGGCGGGAGGCGGGGCTGCCCGCCCGGCACCACAGGAACAGGGGCACCCAGTGCCCTCGGGCGGGCGCACAGCTGTTGCAGAGGACGAACGGGGCGGGGTCCGCACCGGGGACGTAGAGCGAGGAGCAGTGGCCCATGCAGAGGCGGTTACGGAGGCGCAGAGGCGTGCACCCCGGCTGGGTGAGCACCTGGGGTCAGAGGTGGGGAGACAGGTCAAGGGTTGTGGAGCCGGAGGCTCGAGTGATGAGAATAACCCCCGACCCACTCCCACCCCACCTTGAGAAGCATGGGTGCCTGGGCTCAAATCCTGACTCTGCCATTGCTTGCTGTGTGACTTGAGGTAAGTTACTCAACCTCTCTGGGCCTCAGTTTCTTCACCTATGAAGTCATCAAAGTTCAACCAGGAAAAAAGAAAAAGAAACTACTCTAGGCCTTTCAACAAAGAGGGTTAACAGAGAGAAAGGCTGGGTAATAGCAGGAAGAGGTGGCAATGCGGGGCCTGGGGGTGGGGGTGGGTATTACACAGAAAGCCTTGAGCCTATCACCCGGCACACAGTCTGTGCTCAATCAATGTCAGTTCTCCCTATGATCCCCTCCAACTGTCAATTCGCCCCGTTCATGGCCCTTCTCTGTTTAAACCAAGCCTGCACTCCCGCCTCTGCCCCCCTCCCCCAGCTCATCTTCCCACCTTTCCCCTCACTCGGACCCAGCGGCCCCACCCTCTTGCTCAGAGTTACAAAGAAATCACCCGTTAAGGCAGAACTTGGTACCCCTGGCTTCAGAGCCTGTGCCGTAAACAACAGGGCATGAATGCCTACAGCCATTACGGAGCACCAACTGAATGCACTGAGGGAGTGCTGCCCACTCCCCTCTCGACCGGGCTCTGAACCAGGTGTGCCAAGCTCTGGCTTGGTACTTAGCAGGCAGGTGCTACTATTACTGCTTGTCATTTGACAAGCAGCTGCTGTGTGTGCCCGCCTCTGCTCTGGAGCTTCCGGATGGGAACAGAGCGTGAGTGAGGCATAAAGAAACCCTGCCCTGGTGGAATAGACATTCTATTGAGGAAGACAGATAAGTGCAATTACAGAATCAATTTCACTTTCTCGGCGATGATGCGTACTACAGCGAGAAATTAAGAGGACAATGGGGTGGGAGGCACTGCATTTTAAAATAGATATATTTTTTTATTGATTTCAGAGAGAAAGGGAGAGAGAAACATCAATGATGAGAGAGAATCATCGATTGGCTGCCTCCTGCACCCCGTACGTACCGGGGATCAAGCCTGCCACCAGGAATGTGCCCTGACTGAGAATCCAACCGTGACTTTCTGGTTCATAGGTGGTTGCTCAACCACTGAGCCACACCAGCTGGGCTGCTGCATTTTTTTTTTTTAGAATTTTTTTAAAAATATATTTTATTGATTTTGTACAGAGAGGAAGAGAGAGAGATAGAGAGCCAGAAACATCGATGAGAGAGTCATCGATCAGCCGCCTCTTGCACACCCCTCACTGTGGATATGCCCGCAACCAAGGTACATGCCCTTGACCGGAATCGAACCCGGGTCCCTTCAGTCCCCAAGCCGACGCTCTATCCATTGAGCCAAACCGGTCTCGGCCGGGCTGCTGCATTTTTAAGTAACGTTTGGGTACACACCTGAAGGAGGTGAGGGGCGGAGCCATAGAATGCCAGGGTGGGGAGGTGCTGGAGGCAGAGGAGCAGAGGAGCGGCAGTGGCGTACACTGTGGTGTGTGGGGAGAGTAAGGAGGCAGGGGTGGCAGGAGTGAAGTGGGCAGGGGGCACGGGGGAACGGGAGGAGGTGAGAGCAGAGAGAGGACAGGCAGAGCAGGGCCTTGTGGGCTGTGGGGGAAACTGGGGCTTTTGCTCCGGGTGAGGCGGGAGCCACACAGGGTTCTGAGTGTAGAAGGGGCATGACCTGTCTCGGAAGCTCACAGGTGCCTCTGGCCATTACATGGGAAAAGAGACGTGGGGGGCAGGGTGGTGATTGCAGAAGCTGGCAGAGGGGCAGCCCCCATTTTCTAAGGGAGGAAACTGAGGATCAGAGACAGGGAAAGGATACAGGGCTTGATGCCCCATCTGGCACCACCGTCGAGCTCTCTGTCAATGCTGAGACCCAGCCCTCTCCTTCTCCCGCCACATACGCACCTGCGTGAAGGGCACAGCCTTACACCTCTCCTGGGCTACCTCCTGCGGGTCCAGCGGGAGAGTCATGGTGCTGGCCTCTTCCCGCTCGCGCTGCAGCCCACCGCTCCCCATGCGCCTGGTTTTCTGCAGGTCCAGGAAGGCCTTCCAGCTGCTGAGCGCAGACGATGGCCCTGGGGAGGCCTGGGCCCCTCGGCCCAGAGGTCGGGTCTGATTTGTGGCAGCCCAGGGCGGGGGGGTGGAACCCTGGGGTCCAGGCCTCCCCAAGCCTGTGGGTAGGCACGCTCCACTGAGCAGGCTCAGAACTGTGGTCAGCTGGCTGAGGAGCATCTGTCTGTCTGTCTGGGACGGGGCTCAGGGTCCGGGGCAGTTGACCCTGCTGTCTGGTGAGTGAAGTCTCTACCCACCAGACCCACTTTTAATGGCCTGTCCCCCTCCCCCCTGGGCAGCCTGGGAGGCGCCTCTGCAAGCTCCAGAGTAAACCCAGACCTGCTGGGTTCCCACCCCTCCCCCAGCATGGCAGGGGACTTAGGGGCTGGGACTGCTGGCATGGGGGCTGGGGCCCCAGGAAAGGCAGGTCTAGAGGGGCTTGGGGCACAATGCCAGGGTCCTCGGGGGCTCTGTACCTGCCTTCAGGCCCCATTCACCCACTTAGCAAAACCAGACTTTGCAGTTAAGCTACTCAGGTTTTGAGCAGTAAGACCTCCCCTAAATGCCCAAACTTTAAAAATGAAAATGAAGCCGAAACCGGTTTGGCTCAGTGGACAGAGCGTTGTCCTGTGGACTGAAGGGTCGCGGGTTCTATTCCGGTCAAGGGCATGTACCTTGGTTGCGGGCACATCCCCAGTAGGGGCTGTGCAAGAGGCAGCTGATCGATGATTCTCTCTCATCGATGTTTCCAATTCTCTATCCCTCTCTCTTCCTCTCTGTAAAAAATCAATAAAATATATATATTTTTAAAAAGCTACTCAGGTTTCAATCACCTTCCAGCTGTGCAACCTTGGTCAAGTCCCTTAACCACTCTGGGCCTCAGCTTCCTCTTCTGAAATGTGAAGGTAATAACCATCCCTACCTGGCAGGGCTGTTCTGAGGACTGAAGGAGTTTAAAATACAATAGAAGCACCATGAGTAAGCTATGATTAACATTATGGCTGTTGGTTTTCCTTTAGCACCTGTTAGGGGCCAAGCACAATTCTGAGCCCTGGGGATACAGGTGGACAAAACCGAAAATGGGCTCTCCCTGCCTTACATTGTGATGCAGAAAACAGGCAATATAAGATAAATAAGATTATTTGAGAGTCGTAAATATTAAGAAGTATTATTAAAAAGGGATGTGCCTTGCCCAGCTGGTGTAGCTCAGTGGTTGAGCATGGACCTATGAATCAGGAGGTCAAGGTTCAATTCCCGGGCAGTCACGGACCACCAGTGGTCGGCTAGACCCAGCTCCATCCTGCTAGGACCTAAGGCCCCAAACTTTGGAGCATCCGTGACCCCTTACTTTCTCTGACCCCACCCCCTTCCTAATATGATATGACAGCCTATCCATGATTTTCTCTCATCATTGATGTTTCTATCTCTCCCTCTCCCTTCCTATTTCTGAGACAATTATATATATATACACAATGTTCTTAAATTAAAAGGGCTGTCCCTTGAAGGGGGAGGGGCTTCTGCCCCAGGGTGGCCAGGGAAGGCCTTCTGAAGAGGTGCCATTTTTGCAGAGCCCTGAGAGGGTGTCACAGGCAAAGCAAACAGCCTGGTGGGGAGTGGAAGCTGGAGTACTTGAAGCACAGAGGAATGGGAGTCCCAGGCCTTGGGGCTCCGAGAGCTCTGGGGGGTCTCGGCAGGGCCCTGGCACCTCTGAGGCCCGCATCTCGCACCCAGGTGAGGCACTGCGGGCTGCGGGGCCGTGGGAAGCAGCAGGGCCGGTCCTTCCCGCGACCCAAGGTGAGCGCAGGAGATGGGGCCGGCTCGCCCTCTGGCGGCAGCTCTTGGGACTGCGGCCCGGCTCTTGGGACTTGCCTCCCTACATCCTGAGCCGTTCCCCAACCAATCCTTTGCTGTCCTCTAGACCAGCGGTCGCCAATCTTGCGACCTCATGGACCACCAGTGGTCGGTAGACCACCGGTTGGCGACCGCTGCGTCTAGACCCAGCTCCATCCTGCTAGGCCCTAAGGCCCCAAACTTTGGAGCATCCTCGACCTCTTACTTTCTCTGATCCCACCCCTCCCTAATATGACAGACAGCAAGTCCTGTCTGCTTCAAAATCTACCCAGGATCCACCCACTTCTCACTCCCTCCTTGGTTCCCCATATGGACACGGCCCCTGTTATCTCCCACCTGGCCCATTACAGTCCCTTCATCCTGGCCCCCCAGGTCCCACCCCCAAAGCCTGTACCCCCACCACAGCTGCCACAGGGTGCCCTAAGTCCAGGCAAGTCCGTCTTCTATTCAGAACCCTCCAGGGCTCCACACCTCACCCGGAGTACCAGCCAAAGTTCTCACTGCAGGGCTCACACTGTCTGCTCTCATAACCTCCCCACCCTCGTCTCTCCTCACTCTCTCCCCCCTCAATCCACACAGGCCTCCTCGCTGTTTTCATAAATCCATAATATTGCATATCTGTACAGAACTGTACAGGCTCTTATAGTTTCGACATGGAAAGAGCCCCACAAAAAATGAAAAGAAAAAAAAAACTTTCAGAAAGGTATATGTTATGCTCTGACCTTTTGCGGGAGAGGGGATAAGACTTTACAGCTACTGTTTACTTGTATTTGAATACTGAAAAAAAAGCAGCAGAATTTTCCTGCTGGAGAAGGACATGAAAACGAGTGGGTAACGGCAGGCGAGGGCTGAGGGCCCCAGTGTCCTGGGCCAGGCGTTGGGCAGCGGGCCCAGCCCTGTCCGGAGAGGCGGGGCCCAGCCAGGCGTGCCTCGTCACCGACCTCCCTGCCAGAGAGAGGGGCCTGGTATTTATATTTAAAAATTAAGATAATAATATTAATGGTGAGAGGGGCGCCGGGCACAGACCTGGCCTCTCCCGGGGCCCAGCACCCACTGGCCTTGTGGCCGGCCAGGCGTCCCCCTGGGGGCCGGGCACCCGTTGCCCGAGGGGCCCCGACCTCTGTAATTTTATATAGAGTTTGAGCTGAAGCTTCGTATATTTAATTTATTTTGTTAAACAAGAAAATGTGCATCCTTTTTCTCTATAAAAAAAAAAAAGAGTGGGTAAGAAGATGGGTTGAGGAGAGGAACTTCACTTTAGAGTTTAAATATTGTTTTAACCATTAAAAGAAACTTTGGCAATCAAGAAACTTAGGCATGCAAGAGGCAACCAATCAATGTGTTTCTCTCACATCAATGTGTTTCCCTCTCTCTTCTACTCTCCCTGAAAATCAATGGAAGAATATCCTTGGGTGATGAGTAACAACAAAAAATAAAAAGAAACTTTGAAAAAGGGAAAGCCCGCCGAAACTGGTTTGGCTGAGTGGATAGAGCGTCGGTCTGCGGACTGAAAGGTCCCGGGTTCGATTCCGGTCAAGGGCATGTACCTTGGTTGCGGGCACATCCCCAGTAGAGGGTGTGCAAGAGGCAGCTGATCGATGATTCTCTCTTATCAATGTTTCTAACTCTCTATCTCTCTCTCTTCCTCTCTGTAAAAAATCAATAAAAATATATTTAAAAGAAAAAGAAAAGAAAAAAGGAAAGCTCAGTTGGTGTGGCTCAGAGGTTGAGCATGGACCTATGACCCAGAAGTGATTCTAGGTTAGGGATTCCCGCTGGTGCACATGCTTGGGTTGATCCCTGGTAGGGGGCATGCAAGAGGCAACTGATCAATGAATCTCTCATCATTGATGTTTCTCTCTCCCTTCCTCTCTGAAATTATATATATTTTTTTAAAGAAAAAAAAAAAAAGCCCTAGCTGGTTGCTCAGTGGTTAGAGTGTTGGCCCATGCACCAAAGGGTCTTGAGTTTGATTCCCACTCAAGGATATAGGTCACATCGATGTTTCTCTGTCCTTGCTCTCTGGGTTCCCTCACTCCTTTTTTTTTTTTTTTTTTTTTTTTTTTAATATTCCCTGTTTCTCTGGAAAAAAAAGACAGTGTCTTATATTAATTTTTGCTCCCAAAGATGCGCTAGGTCTTATTTTCAGGGGATGTCTTATTTTTCCATGAGGAAGAATATGGTACACATTTATTGTTAAATGAAAATAAAGGAAACTTATTACCTGTATACTGTACGGTAGTACGGTAGTTGTCAACACAAACCAGACAAACTGTGAATCCTACAGTATCAAGAATTTACTCATTTATTCAATAACAATCATGTCATTATCTTCTGGAACATCATCATAACAATCCAATTCCTGAACTTCCTGGTGAATTTCTTGTGACTCCATTTCTTTCAGAATCAGTGGACCAAATCTCTCATGTTTAGCCTAGGGGGGGGCCTTATATTCGGGGGGGATGCCTTATATTTCACTCAGAAGGAAACCTGTAAGTAGGTCTTATTTTCGGAGGATGTCTTATTTTCGGGGAAACATGGTAATACTGTCAATAATAAAAAATAAATTTAAAACAAAAGAAACAAAACAGCCGAAACCGGTTTGGCTCAGTGGTAGAGCATCAGTCTGCGGACTGAAAGGTCCCGGGTTCGATTCCGGTCAAGGGCACGTACGTTGGCTGCGGGCACATCCCCAGTAGGGGATGTGCAGGAGGCGGCTGGTCGATGTTTCTCTCTCATCGACGTTTCTGGTTCTCTGTCTCTCTCCCTTCCTCTCTGTAAAAAATCAATAAAATATTTTTAAAAAAAGATTAATAATAAAATTATGTTAAAAAAGAAAAGAAAAGAAACAAAACAAACTTTTTAAATTCTATCTTCCCTTTCCGAAAACAACTGACTGCCACAGTGCCTCCCAGGTCTTGCTTAAGACATGCAGCTGCTCATTACTCAGTGTAACAGCCTTGCTCCAGCTGCAAACGGTAAATGGAAGGGAGACACCAGAAAGCAGGGCTCTGACGAGACAGAAGAGAACCAGCCACTGTCAGAGAGAGGTGTGACGGGCTAGAAGGCCCCGATACACACGAGGGCCAAGAGCAGGGACCACTGCTGTGGTCTTGGACCCACACCGGAAGTGTCTTCTCAATGGCCTACCGCCTTCTCCTGGGTTTCACGCACATGAGGAACGCAATTCTCATCAGACGGCAATTAAGGGCATGCTTTTTTTTTTTTTAACCCTGTAAAGATATTATTTGTAAAACAAGGACAATCATTTTTAATACCTCAAGGATTGGCAAATGTTAACAAAAGACAAACTTACTTCTCCATTTTGG